CAAAAACGACCCATGAAATCAAAACCCTAAACCCTAAACCCTAAACCCTAAACCCTGAAGGAAAGGCCGGCAAAAACGACCCATGAAATCAAAACCCTAAACCCTAAACCCTAAACCCTAAACCCCAAAACGACCCATGAAATCCCTTTAGAAGCCCAGGCTCGACTTCCAAAGTTTAAGCGTTGAGGCATAGGTTTCGAGCCTAGGTAGCAAAATTAGGGGTACTCCTCAAAGGGTACCCCTTCTGAACCCTACTTTTGGCTCTCTTAAAAGAGACCTTATTGAGAGGGTCTATATCCCCAAGGGTCCCCCTAATCCTAGCTCCCAGAGCCCCATCGAAGGGTCGAGTTCTTAATATGTCCTGCAGAAAGCCTTACTACTTAGAAGGGTGTTGGGTTTATGGTTTAGGTTTTTTGGTTTGACAGGTTCTTGTTCAACCGGGTTTCGTAATAGTTTGGGGGGCTGAAGAATTACAATAGGCTTTTGGAAGAGACTTCACTTGCTATACACTGTGGCGATAAAGGGATGTTATTGTCACATCATCAAGACCCCTTACTTCGGCTTGTCTGATCTGCAATAAAAACGTTAGTGGTATATAATCACAACAAGATCAACAAGAAGAGTAGCATCAATTACCAGCAATGAATGGTCAGAATAGCGGTAGTAATGATAGTAACATAAGTGGCACAGGGAAATGTTACATGGTTATCGGTTAATTGTAAAGGGTAGCTGGTACAGGAAGTGGTAACCGCTACAGCAAATGTGGCGATGGTAGTTCTATGCCATAGACGAGAAAATCCAAACCCTCAGCTGTTATTCCGCTCCTTCTGTTGAGCCTCAACTGTTCCTAGTAGTGGTAGTTACCAGTAAGGGCTGCTCTAGGGGCTACTATCAGGCTTCATGTAAGGGCACAATTAGACAAGTTACACTAATGGTCTTAGAAGATGAGTAGAAGCTTGGTGTTGCTCCAGCCCCCCTACAACCACTGAATCCAAACACCTTAAGAACTAAAACCGAAAACCTCAAACCCCAGAACTTAAACCGAAATCCCTAGACTCAGTTTAGGGTTCTAAACCCTAAACCCTAAACCCTAAACCCCTAAACCCTAAACCCTAAACCCTAAATCCCAAAAGCTTTGCGCCTCTGAGAGAAGAAGGCAACGGAGTGGGATACCTGAACCTCAAACCCCAAACCCTAAATTCCAAAGCCCTACAACCCCAAAGCCCTGAAGCCTTATATCCTGGACCCTAAACCCTAAGCTTCTAAACCCTCCCACCCCAAAGCCCTGGAGCCTTAAATCCTGAACCCCAAAAAAACCCTAAACTCTAAACCGCAAGCCGGCAGGATGTGCTTATCCGGGGTGTGCGGGCCTACTTCTTCTCGGACAGCGACGCCGACCGGTTGAAGGTGCCCCAACGCCCCAAAAGTCATCCCTGGAGGCTTTTACCTACGCCCGAATTTAACCCTGTAGAGGACCCTAAACTGAACCCCTAAAGGTTTAGGGTTTAGGGTTTAGGGTTTAGGGTTGAGGGTTTAGGGTTTAGGGTTTTGGGTTTAGGGTTTAGGGTTTAGGGTGGGTTTGTGTTTAGGGCCAAGGGTTTTCGGGTTTCATGGCCTTTGTTTACATCGGAGATTCTCGGGCGTTGTGCGTTTTGTTCAAGATTAATTCCAGATGTTATAGGGTTTAGAAAGATAGACGGTTTAGTATGCTGGGGCTTCATAGACCTTTTTCAGGTTGTGCTTTGTCTTCCAGAATTTTCACGGCTGCTTAGAGTTTTGGGTTTTTGGGTGTAGGATGGAAGAGTTTAGGGTTTGTGGTGAACTTTAATTTACCTACCTTAACCTACGTTTCGGTAGGGATTGTACAGTTGCAGTGGTCATCGGGCTTATGTTACGATCCCAGGTCTAAGTAGGTTACGGGGCAAAGCCGCCTAAACCATAATCCCCTAAACCCTAAAACCTAAACCCTAAACCCTAAAGCCTAAACCCTATACCCTAAAGCCTAAATAAACCCTAAACCCGTGAACCCCTAAACCCCAAACCCTGAATTCTCAACCCGTTTGACCCCTAAAGTTCCCTAAAGGCCTCAACCCTAAATCCCTTTGATTAGGGTTCAGGGATTAGGGTTTAGGGTTTAGATGTTTGGGGTTTGGGTACCCCTACACCCCAAACCATTTGCATTTAAAACCTCCCAAACCCTTTCAAACTCTAAGCCCGCTTTAACTCTATGCCTAAGCACCGGGCCGCTAAATTGAAAGATCCCAAGCTTCCCCGAAGCCCTAACCCCGAAGCCTTGACCTTGCCTAAATCCTAAGCTCTGAATTCCTGCAAACAAGTTTGGCTCACAGGGGCCAGGCCCAGCAGTTGCAACAGCAACTGTAACTTGGCATGCTTGCTGGTCAGTGTCCTCGCTGTCGGTTTGTCCCAGTGGCTTCCGCTTGTGCAGGAATGATAGCCGTATCGGAGTGATTTTTGTTACTGAGCCATCCACGGATGCCCAGGGCGGATTTTCCGTGTTCGCTGGTGATCCAGCATCGCAGCACACTGCCGTGGGTCATGTTCCGAGGGCTTGGCGTGCTGACCCCACTCGATATCCTGACCTGCTGGCGGCTTGCAGCAGTAGAGATCTGACTTGCCCCAGTGCCACAGGGACGCTACTACAGGAGTTTGGCATTGATGATGACCTGATCTGCGACTGGGCAGCTGAGGTGTTTCCATTTGCCCTGGTTGAGTTGGCCCTAAACCCTAAACCCTAAACCCTAAACCGGTGTACCTGCCGCGGGTCAGCCCTCCGGATCGCTGCTATGCAGAGATGCTGGGCACTCCCCTGTTTGGTTGAGGAACTTGTTTAGGGTTTAGCGGGATTTTAGGGCTCAGGGTCTAAACCCTAAACCCCGAACCCTAAGCCCTGAACCCTCAACCCTAAACCCTAAACCCTAAACCCTAAACCCTAAACCGTGAACCTTGCACCCTAAACCCTAAACGGAACCTTAAACCCTAAAGGGAACCCTAAACCCTAAACCCTGAGCCCTAAGCGACCTTCGAAGGCCGACTTCGGACGGAGCGACCTCTGTGAGGTCCTTTGTGTCTTTCGGGTTGAGGGTACAGGGGTTTAGGGTTTGGGGGTTTAGGGGTTTAGGGTTGAGGGTTAAGGGGTTCAGGGGTTTAGGGGTTTAGGGTTGAGGGATTGAGGGTTTAGGGGTTTAGGGTTTAGGGCTTTAGGGGTTTAGGGTTTAGGGGTTTAGGGTTGAGGGTTTAGGGGTTTAGGGTTTAGGTCGACACTTCGGTGTTCGGGAAAATCCAAGGTTTTCAGGGCTTAGATGTGTTGGGCGAAAGCAACTTCCAGACGGACCCGGACCCTAAACCCTAAACCCTAAACCCTAAACAAATCGGGTGCTCTCTCCCTTCGTTTCACACGCAATGTATAGGGAGGAGCTCCCGGAAGGAGGCAGAATTAGGATTTAGGGTTTAGGGTTTAGGGTCTTGGGTTTACAGTTTAGGGTTTAGGGTTTGGGTTCAGGGTCTAGGATTCTGTTTCGTAGAGCCGTGAATTTGGAACACCGACGACTTCTCCCTATGTCCCCGGGTTTCAAGGCTAAACCCTAAACCCTAAACCCTAAACCCGGTTTGGGAGCCTGAACAGTTGGCCTATGATATGTGCAGCGTAGGAACCCCCGAAAACTCCAAAGCCTGAGCCAGGGTTTAGGAACCCTAAACCCGGAACCCTAAACCCTAAACCCTAAACCCCCAAACCCCTAAACCCCTAAACCCCAAACCCCTAAACCCCAAACCCTTTAACCCTGACTAGTTGTTAGCAGATGCAGCAGGATTGCCATCCTGACCACCGACGTAGACCCCTTAAAATCTCACACCTTTTGCCCGAGGACCTTCAAGGTTTAGGGTTCAGGGTTTGTGTTTAAGGTTTAGGGTTTAGGGTTTAGGGTTTAGGGTTCAGGGTTTAGGGTCTGGGGTTCAGGGTTTAGGGTTTAGGAGCTTTGGGGTTCAGGGTTTAGGATTCAGTGGTCTCTTCTAACATGGTATCTTGGGGTTTGCATAAATTATGTATGAAAGTTGAAGCCCCGGGAATTCTGAAATGTTGCCTCTTTGGAATGTAAAATCGCAGGCTCGCATCTGAATGTTTACTGACTTTTCCGTAGGCTGTTTATTGGGGCTGATGTTGAAGTTATTATTGTAGGGGCCTTGATAATTAGAATAGGGTTTTGGGGGTATATTATACTATAAGTATAATAGGGAGCCCCTCAAATAGTATAGGTACTTATTAAGGCCCCATATTATTAGGGCTGTTACTTATGCTGTGCATGCAGAGCCTTGACCCTCCAAATATCCCACAAGCTTAGGCATAAACCGCGCAGCCCCCTAAACTTCAAGCTCTACACTCTCCACAAACTCAGACCCCAAATTCTAAACTTAAACGTACCCTAACACGCCTTTCAAAGCGCTTGTGGCCCTTGTAAGTAACTCGTTTAGAACCCGAAACAACAAGACCCCGAACCCTAAACCCTAAACCCTAAACCCTAAACCCTAAACCCTAAACCCTAAACCCTAAGCCCTAAACCCTCGCACGATTTTTGCAGGAAGCGGCTCTTTGTCCGGAGATCTTGGCCTCGGCGGCGCAGCTGGGCACGATTCGTTTTAGGGTTTAGGGCTTATTTAGGGTTTAGGGTTTAGGGTTTAGGATCCCCAAACCCTGAACCCTACACCCTTAACCCTGAACCCTAAACCCTAAAACGAGTGGTTTTGTGGATGCTTAGGAGGGGCTTTTCGGCCTTCGTTTGAAGGGGATCCTGGCGTTTAGGGCGTACGACATCTGGGGACGTGGAGGATCGTTTAGCAGCTTTCGCTGAATGCGTAGGGTTTTAGGGCTTGCGCTGTAAATTCTAGACTGTGTGTGAGTTTAATCTTAACACCTCCCGAAACCCCAAACCTTGAACCCTCAAGCCTAAACCCGTAACCAAACCCAAACCCTACGACTTGGGGGTTCCGGGGTTTGGGGGTTTGGGAATCTGGGGTTTGACGGTTTCCGGGAGGGTTTGGGGGTTTTCAGGGTATCAGAGCGGGGATATAATATGTTTTTGTTTTTCTTCAGCGTTTCAGAGTTTTGAGGTTTAGGTTTCAGACTTTAAGGGGTTTCAGGGTCCAGGGTGGAGTCTAATCGTTGCTTTGTTTCTGCTCTTGTCATGGTACTTACATATGAATTTCCTAGGGTTTAGGAGGGCTTTGGGTTTCGGGTTGTGTCATAGCGTTGAACTTGGGTTTAAGGATTGACGGTCAAGGCGGAAAAGAAAAACAGGTTACTGGGTAACCTTCGCTCTCTACCCTAAACCCTAAGGGCTAAGCCCTAAGTCCTAAACCCTAAACCCGTAAAGCCGAATATGATCCTAATAGAACCCTTCGGACATTCTTCAAAAAACTTCGATACCCTACGTGGGCTCGCCTCCAAGGTATCGCGCCTGGGATTACGGTGCTCTGCATGACGAGGCGGGGGACTTTGAGGTTTGTCGAAGCACGGGGCACTGCGTCTAGCGTGCAGGGTCTTGTTGTGAGTTCTTGTACTTTTTTGATTGGAAGCACGAGGTTTCAGTTTAGATCTTGACGTCTATCTATTTACCTACCTTAAATCCTAAACCCTAAACCCTAAATCCCAAACCCTAAACCCTAAACCCTAAACGCTGAACCCTATACCTAGAGATAGAGAGAGGGTTTAGCAGTTATGCGGATTTTGGATCTCGGGTTTTGAAGTTCGCGAGCTTAGGTTTGGGACTTGGGTTTTGTCTAATAGACGGACTTAGTAAGTAGTTGGCTTTGGGGTTTAGGGTTTAGGGGAGTCTAGGGGGTATCACAAACGTCATAACCCCAATTGGGATCTCTTTTAGGGTACGTAGAACTGTCCTTAGTACCTAGTTGCGAAGTCCCCCGACCCTCCAAGTACCCTGAAGAGCAAGGGGCAGGCGGTCGTTGGTGTGATGGCCACTCGAGGATCCTACGGCCTCACACTTTAGCCTTTTTGTTTCTTATAGCTATGCCATAATTTGCCCTTAAGCCTTACTTTAATGGTTAGTGGCGCTGACGAAGTCCTTAAAAACACAGGAAGAACCTGCACAGCAACCCCTTAACAAGTCTTCAAACATGCTATAAAACCCTATTAGACTTCTTCACCCCCCACCCAATACAACACACCGTCCAATGAAGCCAAACTCTACGTAACTCTTTAAACCCCTAAATCCTAACCCGAAATCCTAAACCCTAAACCCTAAATCCTAAACCCCAAACCCTAAACCCTAAACCCTAAACTCTACACCATAAACCCTAAACCCTAA